AAAAAAAAAAAGAAAATTCTGTAGCCAACTATATAATACAATAATAATAATATTATAATACAATATAATAATATTATTATAATAATAATAATTAATAATATTATAATACAATGACAGATGTTGAATCCTGCAATATTGATATATATTCAAACAAAAAAGTGTTATACTAAAGGTTGTTGTAAAGCACTTCGTTTAACTGATGAAGCCGCAACGGCGAAACGTTGGCTGAAGTAAAACGTTTTTTATTATGTGGAGAGTAAAGGTCGTTTTGTTTCGCAAAATTGTGTTATCTGTAAATTAAGTTACTACTACGTTCAGTTCATAAACTTTTACACCCTATGTAACGGTGTTATGCACAATTACGCATTTTCATGCTATACGGCGATAACTAAAGTAAACATGGAATGTTGAGAGCTATATTTTATTCTCTTGTTTGTTTACTAACTGCCATTTTGATATGAAAGATAACTCGTTATCAAAATAATTTACGGCAGTTTAATGTACATGAGGGTGAAGGAAAAACTTAAAATTAGGATAAGAATATGTATAGTTATTGACTGCATACTGTGTTAGAAACTATGGATATATTATATAGAATTTTTATGTAAATTTCTAGCACATTGCGTATTTTGATTTTTGGAAAGTTCCTTTCGAAGATTACAAAGAGAAACGTTAATTTTGAATAATTTAGAGTTCTTAGTGCTAATAATTTACAAATAATGTAATTATTTTATTTAAAAGACTATACAAAATTTCATGTTGTATAAAATGTATTTGGTCCCGATTCAACACGATAGACTATACTCGAGAGCATTTAAAGGTTACATGAAGAAACATTTCTAATATAGATGCTTACGTCCCCAATATCACAGCGGTAAGTATGAAGGCTTATAATGCTAAAAACGGGGTATCGATATCCGTGGTGGGCAATGCACAGATAGCCCATTGTGTAGCTGTGTGCTTAGCTATAAACAAGCAAACAAACAGATGTTTAATACATCATAGTTGGATTATACTGTCTTATAATCATGTGTTAGGCACGTTCACTTCACAGATTTTTAATAATAAGATAAATAGTTAAAATTTAACGTGTATAAGGTGGCTTAAAATTTAACGTGCATAAGGTGACTTCTCCAATGTTAATTTATTGGTTAGTCGAATACCATTTTGTCTGGTGTTAGATACACCTGTAAACTTAGGTTTATTGATGGTTCACGCTCCCGCTATGTGTGTGTAAAGGTGTGAATTTATAAATAGAAATGAAAGTCATGTAAGTGGTATGTGAAATTGAAATAAAGAACCAACAGCTAAAAATATCACTTTCATTAATGTAATTTTTTTTAGCTATAACACTTTATGAACATAATTTTTAGAGGACAGTAATTCGGCTTATGTATGGTGTACGACTTCTTGAAATTTGAAATATTAATACAGTGCTACCTCTACTATCCGTACTTGAACTTACCGCAAACTTCAAGTATCTGCACTTTTCTAGTCTAGATGTTTTTCCACGTGAAGAACGTCTATCAGTTAACTAAACAGACTGACTTACTGAATTTACAAAACTTGCAGCTATTGTATGAATAAGAACTTGGCATCGTCTGATGGTTAGAGTACTCGACTCGCAATCTGTGGGTAACCACACCCTTCTCGTCAAGTATTGCGTATTATTATTGTTGTTTTTAATATGATTCTTTATGTAAAACTGTCTGTTCCTAATTTAAATTTATTGTGGTCGGTAATTATAGGGTACATCTGTCCTTGAGAGGGGGGATCAACTAACCGCCAAAATCAACTATCCGCACATGACCAGGAGGTGTAAAATCCCTTATTCCGAAGAAAAGTGTGAATTCATTTTTTTTTAGGTGGAACATCTGTGTCGATACTTCACACCAAAAAAGTGTGAAAATATTTTTTTGATATAGTGTAAGGACACGGTGTCCCCTGGAAATTTTATTTTTACTAAAGCTTATAATTAGAATTTTCTGATAAATATTACTAACGATTTCAGATTGTTTCCCGCCCAAAAAGTCCTAGGGACGCTACTTGTGAGAAGTCATGAAAGTTTTTAACGCAATTTCTTTTTTTTTTTCAGAACTGGGAACTCCTCTTGCTGAGTAGACTCAAATGGGACGTTTCAGCTGTCACTCCCAATGATTTTATAGAGCCAATTCTTCAGAAACTTCCCCTCGTTAGTGGGTTCAAAGTGGTAAGAAACCACGCTGAAACTTTCATTGCTCTCTGTTCAATAGGTAAGAATTTTATACTTTCTTGTGTTTTATATGAAGTTATACTATTATATCTAAACAGTGAGGTTGAGTGTTATAAATAAAACCACGGTTCACAGTTGGTGCATTGGATATTCAGTAATGCCACTGGAGGCCCGGCATGGCCAGGTGGTTAGGGCACTCGACTCGCAATCTGAGGGTCGCGGGTTCGAATCCCCGTCACACCGTAACATGCTCA